CTTAGGTGTAAAGAAACTAAAGAACTGTAGCCATAATTACCAATGGTGGTTTTGGTCGAATTAGCTATATAAACTAGTGAATCTTACATATTTTAAAGGAGAACTACGGGGTCAGTGCTTTTCCCATAGTACTCCTAAGGGTCACAGGAGGACATAAACTAGCGTCCTCCCGTGACCCAAAGCTCAGTATACCGGGAGCTACAGCTTGCAGTATACTGAGACCACCGCAGCCGGGATGGGTCCCGACATTACTGTCGAGATCCACCCAGCTGTGTGATTGACAGCTGGCTCTGCCTATCTAGAGGCAGAAACACACCCGTGAATCGCTAGCCCAGCGGTCTCCTGATGCAACCTCTCCACCTTAAATTTTAACAATTGCAACAAGTAGAGAACAGGGTTTTTTTGGGGAGGTATACAAACACTGCTTGGAACCATTTTATATAAAAATATAAAGTTTATTACATATTTAATAAATAGTATAAAATCATGAGTATAACCATTCTCATAGAACACATCCCCATAATACAACTAACATTTAATACATCTCTTGCCTTGAAGAAGGGACCCTGTGTGGCCCCGAAACGTCGGCTCATGTTGGATTTCTGTGACATCATTGTCCATTAAAAGGACTCATTCATTTTAACTTATGGAGTGCTGGTGACCTATTTTCTTCAATCTTGTGTTTTGCACGGTGCCATCCGTGAAGTTACTTCGAGCACCATTTATTTGATTGTTGGCCGGGACTGCTGAAAGGTGTGCGGAGGGCACCTCCATCAATAACATTTAATACCACATCTAAGTACGATTGGAGAGTGTAGTATCCAGTCCCAACACGTTTCGCATATTGCTTCGTCAGGGGTTCATGGATTATTCACCCTAGTGTGGTAACTGATGAGAGATGGAGATTCCTAGACTGAGCGGAGACGGGGATAGTAACCACCGACCCAGCTACTCCGTCCAAATGTTGCCTGGGGGACCCCGGGACCAAAAATGGGGGGGGCGTCCAGGACCAGATAGGGGGGAGAGATCCGCCTTTAATCTGTCAGAGCTATCCAGATGATATGCTTGAGCCACTTGATACCCACTATGCGTAGCTGTGTGTATTCCAAACCTGATGACTCGGATTTGCGGTGTCCCGCCTCAGCCAGCGTTTGGATCTAAACCAGCGTGTCCCCCATTGCCAGGCAACATTTAGACGGAATAGCTGGGTCGGTGGTTACTATCTCCATCTCCGCTCGGTCTAGGAATCTCCATCTCTCATCAGTTACCACACTAGGGTGATTAATCCATGATCCCCTGACGAAGCAATATGCGAAACGTGTTGTGACTGGATACTACACTCTCCAAATGCACTTAGATGTGGTATTACATTTTAGTTGTATTATGGGGATGTGTTATGTGAGAATGGTTATACTCATGATTTTATACTATTTATTAAGTATGTAATAAACTTAATATTTTTACATAAATGTTTTGTATACCTCCCCTAAAAAACCCTGTTCTCTACTTGTTGCAACTATCCAGAGGCAGAGCCAGCTGTACCCTCCTCGTTCGTTCCTCCAGTCAGCGCTGGAGGATCGGACAGGGGAATCCCTGCAGAGGGACGTGAGTGACAGTCACGGCTCTCTGCAGGGACAGAATCGAGAAGTGAGCGAGTGACTGTATGTGTTTGCTCACTTCCCGATCTATTGAACCGACGTGTGACAGTTCAGCTATGTTGTCCTAGATTGTTCACTTCTCCGCCTTCTCCAAACTTAGTTTGTCCCTGCAAAGAAGACTGTGAATATGCAGCTCTCCCACTGCCCTGCTTATCAAAAACCACTGTCATTATAGTGACATTTGGTGGTGAGGGCAGAGGGTGAGGTGAGTATTTATAATTTTCTTTATAGGGACATCTTTTATTCAAACTCTGAGTGTAGCAACAGAGTTGCTTTACATTTCTACGTTATCTTTTCTTCCCGTTATGAGAATTTCTTATCTTTTTAAAGTATCATGTAAATAAAGTGCGTCATACATCCTCTAATTATTTAATCACAATATAACTAATATCCATAAGAAAACATGTTGTAAAATGTAGGAGTTTTCGATAGTATGCTAAACAGTAATATTTTGATTTAAGCTCCTAACCAGGAGCCGCTAGCATTTTCCAATGTTATGGTCTGCGATTCACTAGTACGGAGTTATTTTTACTTGGTGAAGGTCAGGAAGGGAACACGTTCCCAACCCTTTGTAGACTTCCTGTTTTTTTAATTATCATTGGTACACTGCTTTATACAAATTGCAGAACAAGCAGTAAGCCATGATGAATGTTTTTAGTATGTCAGCCTGTCAATAAATGTAGGCAGGCTACCATTTTGAAGGCGCAAAGCTGTCATTCTCATCCTTCCTTTCATTAATTGATTTATCAGGTTATGCAGTTGTAAAGCTGAAGTATGATGGTCTCTGAAGCTTGTACCTTCAAAATAAAGCTAGCCATGGTAGTTACAATATTTGTGTCCTGTGGGTTCTTTGTCAGAAATAACTCCAGGAATTATTTTTTAAAAGGACTGGGGAAGGTATATTTAATGTTTGAATTACTCTTTCCTCTGCTTTATACTCTCGAAAAGTGCAGACAGTTTTCTTTAACTCTTGGCGCTAGTGGCTGCCAGCTGAACGATCCACTTGCTGTTGCATACTCAAAGTTTTCAACACAGTTTTTCACACAGACTTGAGGGGCTGCCCATCCAATGCTCTGGGGCTTCCACCACGAACATAGAAAACAAAAGGGAGCAGAGCGCCACTTCCATGTAAAAAATTGTTTATTAACATGAATAAAACAAAGGATATATGTACTCACAAGCAAACATTTTCATCACGCTTTAACAACAAACAAGAGGCCACACTGTCTGTTGACCCAACATGGTATCGCCCCGACTATGTACCATGGTTGCCTCCGGTCACATCACCGTCCACCAGCCGCAGTCAGCCAAGATTGATGCGTTTCAGGGGCAAGCCCCCTCCATCAGAATCATAGCTTGCTTTCCCTGAGAGTGGGGTATAAGACTGGAGCCCCACTCTCAGGGAAAGCAAGCTATGAGGTGGCGCTCTGTTCCCTTTTGTTTTCTCAAAAGTACAGAACTGTGAAAACCCCACAGTTAGAGAAGCAATACCCTTGGCTACCTACTGAGCATTCATTTTTTTCAATGTTGTTGGAACCATAGACTTTTATGTGCCGACCACTTCAGTTCTAATAATGGATGGGAACCACATAATTTCAAATAAGGCACAGGGACTGTGGCAGGGGAAGAGTCGAATGGGGGTCAGTGGACACAGAGGTGGTGGTTGAAGAGGATAGAGGTGGCACAGTGGCAGGGGAACAGCCATCCTTCAGTCTGGGGCCTTCCATCCTTCACACTGTACCTGGACCGTGTGCATCACAAAGCTCCACAGCACTACAACGCAGTAATATGCAGTGTGGATGACAGACTCATTTTATTGACCATAATGTGCCAAGTGTTTTTGGCAGAGATTCCATTCCTGCCACAAAAGTGTCAGGATGTGTAAAAAAAAAAAGTAAAAATTGCTGTTATACATAAACAACTGCAACGTAATGTATTATTGCAATATTCTGTTCTATAAGCAACACATTATATTCTGGCAGTGCCCCTCCTGAGACTAGACTCTAGATCTGTCCCTGGGTAGAGGGCAATGACAGTCACCAATATTGAGTCGACTTACCATGCCTCCTTGTTTAGCACTGTATCTGTGTGCAGGCCACCATCTTGCTTCCTCGTGTCACAGCCTCCGACAAGAACAACAGTGAGCAGCACAGCAGTAACATCACCAAGGCTCTCCTGAGATTAGCAGTACCTTTTATTGCAGCTATACCGGATACACAAGAGAGCCTAGTCACCCTCATTTACCAGAAAGTGCACTACTTTTTTAGGACAAATTCCAGACAAAAGGTACACTTTTCAGAGCACTGCTTACAAAAAAGTAACATTTTAAAATGGTCCCTATAATATAGCAAATCTCCACTTTGAGTTTAGTTCCACTAAATCACACATAAATGTTAGGTGTCAGCACACCAGGCCTGGTGCTGTAGTTTTACTCATGCAGCTCTGTAAATATAGTGTATAATTCTGTTTATTTTATAAAGAGTTTTTATGGGGTTTTTTTTTTCTACTAAAACATATATTTTTTTTTAATCCTAGGTTGAATTTAATCAGAACTCGGAATCCTTATATTTCAACGATGATCAAAGACGTATTGATTATGTTTTAGTATATGAAGATGAGACCTTGAAAGAACAGGCAAAGATCACAAAGAAAAATGTTTATTTGAAGCAGCAGGTATGTTTATGTATTCATTTTGTTAGATTTAGAAGAGAACTGTGTATCAGAATTATTGGTTATATGGGGTAAATATAAAAAGTCAGCATCCTTTTTTACTTCAAGTAAAGAACATACCAGCCGGCACTCAGGGTTGAGCTCTGGTCCAGCCTCTCCCACACCTTACTAATAGTTCCTACATCTGTTGGGAGGTCTCATTAACCATTAGTGATGTAGGAGAGGACATGCCCTTATGAGCTCAGTATTTGCATATTTGAGTCCCCCAATTTTTGAGACTCTTGGAGCCTTTAGAAGAATGCTAAAGCAACAGTATGTCCACGTGTCTGTAAATGTAATGCACTAAGATGGCAGTTTATAAACCTTAAGATTGGGTTTCTCTGTGTTTTTAGTGTTCATTGTGCATGCGCACTTGTGTGCATTTTCATATGGCCAGATATACTACTTTGCTGAACTTTGTCAGCCAATGAAATGTTGAGTAAAGTTTAGAGGACCTTATGACTAAGCCCCACCCCGGGAGGATGAGGAGCGTGGCCTACTGGGAGGCGACCTGCACAATGTATAATGCTGGCTCATTAAAGCTTATTCATTAAGAGAAAAAAAAATTGCAAATGTGCCAATTACGGTTTTACTTTGAGTGCATATGTTGTATGCTGAAGGGCTTTTTAAAATTAATTTGTAATAGTTTAGATCTCGGTTTTGGCTAGATAAAAATTTAATTCCACAAGAGTTAAAAAAGGTCACAATTTAAAATCGTTTTTTATAAACCTCCCTCCTTGGTACACATACCTATAAAGTATAATGTGTTGGAAATGTTTTTTAAAACCATATTAAGCTCGGCCTTCACATCCCCTGTGGTCACAAGAACAGAAAGTGAGGGGAAATATTTTTGCGAGTATAGACGGCAGGAAAAAGTTCAAAAAAACACTCGGGCTGTAGTCAGACTTTACCAAAGGGGTCAATAGGAATACCATTTATTGCTGACTCATGGCATGCTGGCATCCCTGTTTAACAAACCAAAAATCCTATTACTGGTAGGGATAGTCCTGCATCTGGAAATTTAATTAAAAATTGTTACTTTGACTGCTCTGTATGATACTCTTCAGATAACATGTGTTCCATAGGCTCACCCTTTTCCAATTTTAGTTCCCATGATCTGTGAGTCATGTTTATGGGATTCTTTCACTTTTAACATTCCACCAGTGACTAACATTAGGATGGTGTGATTTCCACATAGGTCTCCAAAAAAAAAAAACCTTTCACTTTCAGAGAAAAACAAATCTCTGACTTTGTATAATCCTGATCCTGAAGGAGTTTCTTGGGGAGTAGTTAAGGTTTGTAAAGATCAAACCTACTAGGGTTTTTAGAAATATTTTTGTACAAATACCTTTCCCTAACACAAGCTACTATTCCATCAGCTGTTTTCATTCCTGTTCCCAAAAAGTCAGTTATCCATATCTTCAGTGACTATCAGCCAATTGCACTCATTGTAGTGGTAAAGAAATATCTGGTAAGTACTAGAGGAATATTAAAGTACAGACAAATAGATTTAGAAAGAGCCTTTTTTCCCGAGGGCTATAAATATTCTGACTGATAGGTAATATTGGTGATCAGTTAAGGTGCCCATACACTGCCCGATTCTCGTACGAGAATCGCGGGAAATCCCGCGATCGTACGAGAATCGAGCAGTGTGAACGGAGATGTGCTACCGTTTCTACTGTACGGTCGCACGTCTTCCGTCGAACCAGCATGTTCGAAAACCAGCCGGGAATCGTACGATTCTCGGCTGGGTAGATCGGTGCTCGGAAGACAAATGCCGAACGGGTCGGTGTGCGCACGCGCACACTGCCCGTTCAGCATTGCGGTCATCGGAAGCCCGCCCCTCGGGGGCGGGCTTGCGATGATCGAGAGTGCGATCTGCCTGTCCAAGATAGGCAGATCGTACGTTTTTTTTAATCCCTGTACAACCATCGCAAGACTAAGGTCTTGCGATGGTTGTAGAGTGTATGGCCACCTTTAGAAATATAAACGGCATTAGTGCAATAGTTGTACAAATTGGTTTTAACTGGCACATAGTCTAATAGTTCTCACTGCTAGTGTCACAAGAACAAAAATGTCTCCAGTGTGACATAGGCAGCAAAAACGTTTACAGGAGTTTTACCCATTCCCCAATCTATTCAAAAGTGGAAAAAAAAGTTTAACTTTAGATATATGCTCTGCTTACTGCAAAGCATTTAAACAGTAGGTACTATTTAACTATATATCCGATGCAGACTCACCACTAATACTTGTGAGTACTCACTCCAAACTCACGCAAATGTAAAAAAAGAAAAGGAAGAGCTTTATGTACACCACTGTTTTATGATCTGCTGTTTTGTTTATAAAAATTCTCTATTTTATTGTATTTTTTTTCCAGAAGACTATGCGTTTTTAAGAAATATAAGTTACAAAATTTCTCCCCATCCTTGTTATTGTCAATACCTATCAACATTACACCTAAGTGAATAAAAACAACTAAAAGCCACTTAGATGACGACCAATATGCCTATATCAAAAATACTTGTTTTTTTATAATTGAGATATTCAAGAATCTAGCCCCTTAAACCACATAAGAAGCCAAATGGACCCAATATCTGTGTGTGTCAGGGTTAGATATTTAATATCGTTATGGAATGGAAGGAAAGCCTTTATTATCATGGTACAATAATACAGTTAAAACAACAGTACTATTAAGTGATACTTTAAAAGGACAACATACAAGAAAAACAGAAAAGCAACGAAAACAACAACCCGCACATGCAAAAACCACAAAGCTACAATACAAAATTAATTAATTAATTGAATAATAAAAAGTTAAATAGGGAGTAGGGAATGGGTAAAACCCCTGTAAAGTTTTTTTGTTTTTGTTTTGTTTTTTTGCTGCCTATGTCCCAGTGGAGAGATTTTCCTTCTTGTGACACAAGAAGTGAGTGGACATCTCTCCAGACTAAGAGAAATCCCTCCTAAACAGTTGTCACCAGAACAAGTGACCTATTGCAAGATTTCCCCTCTTTTCTTGGTACAGTGACCACTCAAAAGTTTAGATTTTCCCCCACTTTTAGTCCGTGTGGCAATGGTTACTAGAACAAACTGAGAGGGTTCATCTCCAAGGCAATAAAAAAAAAACAGACATAGGTTCTAGTGCTTCCCTACGCTATCCGAAATGAACATTTTAAAATAAATGGCATTGGATGCACTGTAACTTTTTATGTTGTGGCTCCCAGCTGTCAGTGTGACATTCTGTGAAATACCAGAATAGTCTGTCATTGTCTTTGGACCCTAAGACCACATTCACACATGCGCGTTGCATTAATGCGCATCACATTCGCACACCGTGTGCTCATGTAGCTTATTTTGCGACAAGCATTCCGCATTTTTTGTTTCTGCACATTCTCATGCGTGAAAAACGCTTTTGAGAAAGTCTTTGATGACTAAATGCGCTAAGTGGCCGTGTTCCCACTGTCATCAGCCAGTCGCGTTGCTGGCTCCAGCCTCTAAGAACATAAATCTTTTCCCCGGCTGCCTTATCCAGAGGGGGAGCGAAGGGACGAGTCAGAGGACGGGAACGGAGCATGTTTAAAGGTTTTGTCAAAGAGATATACTACTTAGCTCAAGAATGGAAGTTTTTATGACCGCTTTTAATAAAGTTTGCTTAAGGATTTTATACTATGCAATGTTTTTATTTTTTCTCTGAGTATTAATTACCCTTGGAGGAGAGGAATTAACTGTGAGCTGTGACTTGCACTGGGGTGGTTTTGTGAGCGCTATCTGACCATTATATAAAATATGGCCCATCTATTCTGGTGAGTGAAAGGAGTGCACATAAGAGCACGGAGTCGGATTTTGATTTTTTTGGCACAAGAAGCAAAGTGTGTGTTTTGGTGTTATGTGAAGCACATTTGGACTGTTTTCTACTACAGTAAATGATGGAATAGGGGTGAGCTCTCAGACCATCTGGAGGTACTAGATCTGTGGAGTGCAAGTTAATTGATCAGTTACATTTGGACTGTTTAGATATGCACAATTGCGATGCACTTTACAATGGAGTATTTGTGAATCAAGTGGACACTGTTTTGGTTTTTATATTCATCTACCATTTGAAGATTTGGGAATTAATTGGACACAATTCTTCTTTTGTGGTCACTTTGTTTTATGTGTTTATTATCATTTTCTGATACACATGTAGTAAACAACTAGTACAAGTACATAAGTAGTTATTCGCAGGAAGTAGGTGTCCTCCTGGTGCACTGTATAGCTTGAACAGCAAGGTGACTCATGGGGCATGTAAAACTAGGTTTCCAGTATACTAGCTGTCCAGAGATCTGGTTCTAAATATTGTTGCAACACAAGATAGGGGGAAGTCCAGGTTTCACAAGGTAGATGTTCATCATACTAACACTGTCATGGAAAGTCACGAAAAAATGCAAGCCTTGGGAGACAGGTTTTCATAAACAAATGATGCCAATTGAGTGCTACAAGCAGACACCCAGTGATATTATCATACAAGTATTCAGTACAGAATACCAGTTAAAATTTCAAAGGCAACAAATCCAGATTTCCCTAGAAATGAGGGCTCTAATGTCCTATTTTAAAAAGTGCCTAGAAAGGGATAGAGTTACTTCCCCCTATCTTGTGATACAGTTGGCCGTTCAGTGTTCATTTTTTCTGGTTAGTCTGCAAGCTAAACAGAAAAATCTAACAGATTCCTCCATCCATGCTCCCACCTTGGCTCTTGTATGCTAATATTGGCAGGTGTCACAATACCCAAACAGTCATTTCAGCTGATTGACTGCAGTTACTGTTCATGGAGAGTTTTTTACCCAGTTCCTGTAATTTTCTGATAAAATGATGTTGGGCGGGAGGCTGCCAACAGGCTAGCTTAATAGTTTATTTATATAATTTTCTGTTTTATTAGAGTAGCAAGCAATAATTATAGGCATAGCATCTCATGTGAATGCCCTATT